ACGACACGCGTCCGCGGATAGAGAAAATCAGCTCCATGGTAATGGATGGGAGGGAGGGGTAGGACGTCAGATATGACGCGAGCGCACCTAGCTTGTCCCCCTCCCCCTCCCCCTCCCCCACTCCCTCCCCCTGCTCCTCTTCCTCCTCCTCCTCATCCTCCTCCTCCTCCTCCTCCTCCTCCTCCTCCTCCTCCTCCTCCTCCTGCTCCTTCTCCTGCTCCTCCTACTCCTCCGCCTCCTCCTCCTCCTCCTCCTCCACCTCTACCTGGCCGCCACATCCTGGCCGTCCCCATTCAGGCCTCCTCCCCCTCCCCCTCGCCGCTCCTCCTCCCCCTCCCAGCGCGGGGAACTCAGCCGTCGTCGACGTCGCATCGAAGCGGCACGGGCCTGCCGCGCGCGTGCACGACTTCGCTTCTGCACCGGGAGGACGACAGGCAGCATCGGCACGACTGCGGACAAGACCTGTGTCCATATCCACTGCGTCTCGTAGCTTCGGGATCCTTTCCTCAGAAACCAAGAGGCGCAGTGGATTTGGCGGATTCCAGAAACCCTGAACCCAACAACGTGTTCATTTCTTGGGGGCGCATCTTTTACTTCCGCCGCCTTCTGCCAACCTTCCGCCGGCTTCCGCCGGCGGAGGCGACCTCGGGAACCTCAGTGAAGCCACGTCTTCATCGCGTCAGTAGGGTTAGGGGTTATGCGGAGGAGGGCGACCTCAGAACCTCACCCGACTCGACCTGAACCGCTGAGCAAATCCAAAGGTCGCCAGGCAAACTGGAAACACTACAAGGGCCGACCTGCAGTGGGCAAACTCGCTGGCAGTTACCTGTGGCATGTCCCTCCTCGACCTCTGCGAGCTCGCTCGCACCCTCCGCCCCCCCAGGTCGCCATGCCGGCCAGGTGTCGGAGCTCGACGCCCCCGCCGCCCGCGAAGCGGTCGTAGCTGGGCGGCTCCACGGGGTGGTTGCCCTGGCCCGCGCTGCTCTCCCGAGGCCCCCCCCTCCTGCTCCTGGAGGGCTCCGATCCACGTGCCCATGCAGCAGGCACACACGATAACAGAAAGTCCGCTGCAAGACATGCTGGGGCACAACTGTGGAATGCTCCTCATGCCCCAAGCCTTTTGCGGCTCCCTGGGGCCTTCAAGTGACAGGAAATGCACGTGGGGCACCTGCCTGCTTGCAAGCCGGCTTCTTATTTGACGCTCCCACTGGATACCTCTGGCTACTCGGCAACAAATCTGGTCGAAAGCCTCTTCGCAATTCTCTGGCGTCTGGAAGCGCTTTCGGGACCCCAAGGGCCGCCGATGCCAGAAACGGCGCGGGAGGGCTCTGGGGGGCCGCTGCGGCAGCTGCACACCACCGCCATCCCCCGCCGACGCCGCCCGGGCCCCCGGGGTGATGCGTGCGGCCTTCTGGCCCCGACGGTGAGGGTGGGCGCGCGCCCTCCTGGGGCCCCCTGGGTGGCGGATGGCGCACGGTGGCGGTGTGCAGCTGCCTTCCGTGCGGGGTGCCCGGTCACGGCCGGGAACTCTTGCGCGGCGCGCCGCGGCGGCGGCCCCAGCGACGCGCCACGCCCCACGAGCGGATGACGTGCTCCGTGGGGCGGGGCGGGGCGGAGGACGTGGACGCCTGGGGACCAGGGAGTGCTCAGCGTGTCGCGCCCAAGCGCGGTGGACCGGAACCGGCGGCGCGGCATGCCAAGCCGAAGTTTCTGGTCGCGGGGTTGGCACCGACGCCCAGCCTCTTTCGCTGGAGCCATCCCCGTTACCGCCTCACCGCCCGTGCGGAGGTCTGCGCACCGTTCGGGAGGTGCGAGACATGGGGAGAGGGGACGGGATGGAAAGCTGGATGGGCTGCGAAGGCTCTGCCGTCGACCCTCACCATTCAGGATCGAGAGAACAAGTGTAGGGACGTTCATGGTCCACTCTGGGCATCATGAAGCCCCGAAGGGCCCCTGGAGACCGTTGGTGACGTCCAGGGGTCAGGATGCAGGGCGTGAGAACTTACAAGAATGGATGGATGGAATGATGGGGTGGGGCGGTGGGGCAAGAATCCCCTGTTCTTTGTCCCTGGGGCGAAGGGGCTGCTTCACTGCTGGTCGGCATGGGCCGCTCCACCGCGCGATCTGGTCAGAGACGGCGCGCGTCGTTTCTCAAGCAGTGCGTGCTCTTCACCCGCACACTGCACAGAACACCTGGCCGCCCCTCGGTGGTGACACGCTCGGGGGGGGTCGTCCAGCTGGCGTAGCAGGAAGTACTGCTTGGCCGGACGTGCCCCAAACTGGACTACGGATCCGCGGTCCTGGCGCGTGCGCGCCGGGTCCACGGATCGGGGGGGAAACACCCCCGGGACCACGAGGCCAGCGCCGCATGCGTTGGCAGCGGAGCGCGCCGATTCTGCACGGGCGCGGGGCCCGTCGCCAGCCCGCGTGCCTTGACGCACGCTCGCGTGCCGTGGAGTTCTGCTGCCCGATACCGTCGGGGTGTTGACCTAAGGAACCCTAAATTCGCCGGCCCAACGGGCCAGGGCGTGCTAAGATCTCCGGTACCTGGTTAACAGTATTTCTAGTTCGCGCGCGCGGGGCGGCCCCTGGGGGTCCCCGGACGAAACGTACCCCGGCAAGGTCCCGGCAAGTCCCCGGCAAGTCCCCGGCAAGGTCCCGGCAAGGTCGGGCCAGAGATGCCGGAGTTCTGTTTCGGAGTCCAAGAGGGCTCCAGATCGGTCCAAGAGGGCCCCGAGAAGCTTTCTAGACGGTCCAAGAGAGGCCCGAGACGGCCAAAGATCGCCCGAAGACGCCCCAGATGGCCCCAAGACAGCCCAAGAGGCCTCCAAGAGCCTTCCAAGAGGCCTCCGAAGAGGGCCCCAAGTTGCCAAAATCGTTGATTTTCATTGTTTTTTTCGATGTGTTGTTGCGTTCTGGCCTTTTCGCTTCCAGACGCTCCAAGAGGGCCCAAGAGGCCTTCAAGACTGCTCCAAGACGGCCCACGAGGCTCCCAAGACGGCCCCGGAGCGGCCCAAGAGCGCCCCCCACACGGCCCAAGTGCTGCCCAAAGTGGACCAAGAGGCCCCAAGACGGGCCCAAGAGGGGCTCAAGAAGGGAACCGAGAACTGAAAATTCGAGCCCTCGCCCCAGAAGGCGCCCAGGACCCCGAAAGAGGCCCCAAGAGACTCTCCAAGACACCCCCAAGACGCCCCAATAAGCTCCCGTGAGGCCCCAAGAGGACCAACAACGTCAGGCCCCAGGCCCCAAGAGGACCAACAAATACCGCCAAGAGCCCGCCGAAAGCCCCCCAAGAGACCGTCACGAGAGCTCAGGAGGCCCCCTGGAGGCCTCCGGAGTTCTCCAAGAGGCCTAAAAAGAGGCGCCAAGAGGCCCCAAACGGCCCCACCGAGGCTCCAAGAGACACGAACGCGCAAGCAAACGCCTGCGATGGTACAATACGGGCCGGCGGAATGAGCGAAGCGATTAAATAAGGAACGAGGCCCCTTTTTTTCCACAAGTTAAACTTCGATTTCCTATCGAAGACATAAGGAAAACGTGAGGCAAGCTGTGAAACACTTAAGGAACGCGGAGCCCCTCCCCAAAGAAAAGGGTTCCTTCTTCAGGGCCCCGACTGTATCTTGTGAGCTGCACACACACACACACATACACACACACACACACACACACACACACACACACACACACACACCAATGTCGGGCGTTGGCAGAACTGGGCTTAGTGGGACCTGGTTTAGGGATCTGTACCGGGGACGCCCCCCCCCGTCCCATTCCACTCACCACCAGAATTGCCGTCACCCGAAAAGCACCAGCTACGACAGACCTGGTTTAGTGGCTCTGGCCAGTTTAGGGGCTCTGGGGCCCTACTACTAGCCGGGACCCCTTACCTGGGGCCCTGGCTATACCCGAGAATGGGCCATCGCGGACGGAGACTCTCTCGGCTCCGCTGCGCCCTGCCCGCTGGCTGCCTCCTCGGAGAGGCGCCCCGCGACCCCGCTTGGCTCTTCCATGCAATGCCCTGCGCCTGGCCCGAGTCCTCCTCCTCCTCCCCTTCCTCCTCCTGCTCCTGCTCCTGCTCCTCCTGCTCCGCCTCCTCCTGCTCCTGCTCCTGCTCCTGCAACTCCTGCTCCTGCTCCTGCTCCTGCTCCTGCTCCTGCTCCTGCTGCTCCTGCTGCTGCTCCTCATCCTCCTCTTCCTCCTCCTCCTCCTCCTCCTCCTCCTCCTTCCTCCCGCCTCCTCCTCCTCCTCTCTCCTCCTTTTTCTCCTCCTCACCCTCTCTACCTCCTCCTCCTCCTCCTCCTCCTCCTCCTCCTCCTCCTCCTCCTCCTCCTCCTCCTCCTCCTCCTCTCCTATTCTCCCATCCTCCTCCTCCTCCTCCTCCTCCTCCTCCTCCTCCTCCTCCTCCTCCTCCTCCTCCGCCTCTTATGTCCTCCGCATCCTCCTCCTCCTCCTCCTCCTCCTCCTCCTCCTCCTCCGCCTCCTCCCCTTTATTCCCTCCTCCGCCTCCTCCTCCTCCTCCTCTCCATCCTCCTCCTCCTCCTCCTCTCCTCCTCTCCTCCTCCTCCTCCTCCTCTTCCTCCTCCGCCTCCTCCTCTTCTCCTCCTCTCCTCCGCCTCGCCTCCTCCTCCTTGCTGCTCCCCTCCTCCTCCCTCCTCCTCCTCCTCCACTTCCTCCTCCTCCTCCACTTGCTCCTCCTCCTCCTCCTCCTCCTCCTCCTCCTCCTCCTCCTCCTCCTCCTTCTCCTCTTCCTTCTCCTCCTCGTCCTCCTCCTCCTCTTCTCCTCCTCCTCCTCCTCGCCCTCGCCGCGCTGCGGAAGCGATCCCTTGTCCGCGCCGCTCGCTGGCGCCCAAGGGCCGCCTCCCCCTGCGCGAGGCCGCGGGACGCGCCCACGCCCTGGTGCGTCGCTTTCTGTTCTGAGGAAATGAGGGGGGAAGAATAGGGGGGCCCAGCCCACAATCCCGAGCTTCAAGAAGTCGTAAAGGACACGTGGTCCCTTGCATGTCGTGTCGTACATGCAGAACTCGTGTGCGTAGCGCAGAAGACGGCAGAACCATGTGGGTCACTCTGGTGAGAAATACTGTGCACCAACGTACAACAGTATATCGTATGAGTCGAGGCACCGGAAAATGTGGATAGTGCGCTCGATCAGGTGCTATCGATCAGGTGCACGACTCAAGGTTGGCCGATCTCTCCTTGTTGATGCCTTGTCCAGCGAATAAAGTATCGGGCGACGTTGTCCTCGTTCCTGCGCCGCGGTTGTAAGCAATCGATGGTGGCGACGAGAGCGGCGACGAAAGCAACGACGAAGGGCTGGCACGTTCCAGGAGGCCCTCGCGACAGAACGGATGCACTTCCGATGCAATCCTACGATGGTCTTTGCGGTTGGGCCCCACGAGTAGTTTCGGGCGAGTCTTAAGGTAGACCCCAAGGATAAGCCAATATCAATTTTAGGAGTAGGCCGTTGGGGTAGGGGGTAGGACGTCAGGGTGGTCCTGGAGTGGACATCGGGGCAATGCCTTCGGGTAGGCCCCAAAGGTAGGCCTAGGGGTAAGCCCTACGGGGTAGGTCTAGGGTAGGCCTAGGGTAGGCCTAGGGGCCGGCCCTTGGGGCAGGCCTTGGGGTAGGCCATAGGGTAAGCCCCAGGGGTAGGCGCAGTGTAGGCCTCGAGGTTAGGCCTCAGGATAAGCCGAAGACAGGTAGGCCTGGGGGTAGAGCCGTGGGGTGAGCGTAAGGTAGGCCCAGGGGTAGGCCCAGGGGTAGGGGTAGGCCGAGGGTGATTAGCAATAACAGAACCCCTTATGGGAGTGGACCTAGCTTACGAGGGCCAGAAACATTAGGGATAGGGGGTCTTCTGCAGATTGCCTAGATTTATGATCCCTCATGCAGAGACGGGAACCTCAGTGAGGCTACGTCTTCATCGTGCTATCAGGGTTAGGGGTTCTTTTATCCTCGATGATCGGGTTGGCCTAAGGGTACTTAAGGGGAAAACAAACCTACCTCGCTTTTGACCACCCTCGCTTCCAAGAGATACCAAACGATGCCAAATTGCAGCCTGTACTGGTCAGGCCGCTGGACGAGGGGGCGCGTGGTATGGCTTGGTTTTGCCTGGAAGCGAAAGCGGGGTAGGTAATTCACGCTCTGAGTACTATGAGCCCCAGGGGTAGGCCTGGGGAATGATGAAGATAAGCCCTCGGGGTAGGCCTTGGTAGGCTTACCCTCCATTGTCCATATACGAGTGTCGAACGCGCGCTCGCGAGCGCGCCTGTTGATGCTCCGCTCGTGGGTACAGCCTCGGCCTTCATGCCCACCTGCAGCGCCCTCGGCAGCACTGGTGGCCCCTCCGAGGCCTTCCTCCCTCGCATGCGTTTTGCTTTGAGCTGCTGCCGGGTCCTCTCCCTCTGGGTCCTCTGGCCGCGCGAGGCTC